GAAAAATAATTTATTTGATTTTAATAGTAGACAAGCATAGAAAATTTCATAACAAGCTAAATGAGGATCCAATATCGAAAAGTCAAACAACATAAATAGGAATCCATATCATTTAATCATTCATTGCATAACAAAGAATAACATTGAATTAAGATAAAGGAACTGCTTTTAAGTATAAACAACAATAAAATTGCACAATTAATATAAATATGGCAATACATCTAATAAAACACACAAAGATTTAAACATTTTTAACAAGAAATAAAAATTAAAAAAGAGATTCATAATTAAAAATCAGGATTTTCTTTGTCACTTTAAAAATATACATAATATTTTGTTCAAAGTCAAGTTTTTACAATAATGAATAAATTTTTTCTGAAAATTATTTTTGAAAATAAAAAATTTTTCAATTAATATTTAATCTAACTATAACAACCGTAAAAATTCATATATATTCAAGAAAAATTACACAAATAATTTTAAAATAAAAACATTAAAAATACAATTAAAAATTTAATAGAATTAAAAATACAATAACATAAAAGAAATCAGATCTTATTAGAATTAAAAATATTTATAATATAAAAATGCAGATTTCTATTTAATAACAATAAAACGCAGAGAAAACAAAAAAATGATAAGACTTAGAATGAAATAAAGTATGATGTCTATGAATGTTAAAGTACACATAAACTCTATCATCATATTTTTTATAAAATAATAAGCTTTCAAACTTATACACAACAACACTTTCTAATCACAACAACTAACTTTGCAACTTTTAAACTACAGTTTTAAAATATTTTGTAACTAAGAAAATATTTTGAAGTGTTTTAATTTTTAAAAAGAATATTTTTGGTCGATGAAAAAGTTTTTACGGTATTAAAGTTTGAAATAATTGCAAACTACAGAGATTGTAATTTTACAGAAAGAATAAACTTAAAGCAAAATTCAGATTTTTCAAAAATTAAAAAAAATAATATTCTTTTCCACATAAAACAGCTTCGTGTATAGGGAAGAAATATTTACATCATTTGCATAAAAGCAAAAGCAGCACAGAGATAAATCAAGCGATGGGATTAAAATTAATCAGAGTTTGGAAAACTTTGATTGTTTTTCATTTTAAAGAGATTTAAAGATCACAGACTAGTAAAAAACAAAACAGCAACTGACATTTAACAAGCCATTAGGTGTCAGTACAAGAGGATGGCCACCCACTAGATAGCTTGATAATGTTGAGAAAGATCTCAGCATGCTGAGCTTTTGAAACAGGGAACCTGTAGCAATAATGGAAAGGCATAAATTGAGAGAGCTTATTGGGACAGTGTTAGCCAGATCTGATAGGTAAACTATAGTAAATTTAGGTGCTGGTTTTAAATTAAGTGAATTTTAAGAGCTGGTACACAGAACTAAGAAAATTTCAAAAACCAGAATGTGTATCATTAATTTCACTGTATAATTTATTTATTTTAAATATATAATTATGCATCGATCAGAATACAAAATGCAATAAAAAATTTACACTTCCTGTTGGAAAAATCCAATAGGAAATAAAATCTGATATGCATCAGTGTGATATGTGTTCAGAGTGAAATCATTAAATCAATACTTACCCAGATCGGTTAACATGTAAGTTCTATTAAATTAATAATCTAATTATAGAACTTAAATGTTTTAGTAAATATTTTTAGCATAATTTCAATCATGGGCAAACTTCTTTAATAATATATTTTAAGCCGAGAAAACTATTACTATTTTAAGATTATCCTAAAAATGATACACTTTTTAATTAAAGTGAATAAAATATGATTTATCAAAGATACTTTTACAGTCATATATTGCATAAGTACACTAAAAATATTATAGAAAATATCAATGCAAAGTTCATGTATGCTTTAACCATAACATAAGTTTACAGAACATAACTCACAAAAAAAGTTGAAAGGAAACTCGAAAATGAAATGAATTAGCGCAAAAAGTAGGGTAAGTATTTATTAGCTAAGCAATATAATGATTAAGTAGTTAATTTAGTAAAATGTTTGTTTAAATTAGACACAGTCCTAAAACAAGGTTATTAGATCCTTAAAACTATAAAAAGATAGTTAAGACTTGCCAGAATAAAAAATGTTTAATGAATAAAATGAGCAGGCATTTAATTAAAGGCAACTTCGAAAAGCAAAGCAAACAAATTTTGCTAAATCTGTCACCATTTTTATACTATGCTTTTGATTTAAGAAAAAAACGAATAATTAACTCCTTTAAAGAAATTATAAAGCTTTAGTGAGTAACGAAGAACAAAACCCTGAAAGCCCTATAACATTAGAACAAACAAATCACCCGTAATTGGCATTATGATTTATCAGCATTTACAAACATTGTGAAGAAATGCTTACAAAGTCTAACAATCAATAGTCTCACAAACAATAACATTTTAATGCTTAAAATGTTCAAGCATTTAAAGCATAGTTTTTAACCAATTGATCGTTGTGAATGGATAGTAGCCAGTACTAAAAATGATTTAGAGTAACAGGTTTTAGCATGTTAAAAACCATATCCAAAAGGCTAAGAAAGGTTTGTAGAAAATAATAATAATATGATTAATCTAAGAATGTTACTAGCTTCTTTGATAATTCAAAAGAATTTGATCTACAAATATGCATCTGGATGTAAATAAAAAAAATTTAACAGGCCATGAACTTGTATTAAATTTATAATATTTTAACCGTAGTTTAAACAAAAAAGTTTGTTTGAAATAGGAACATATTTAAATAATATATATATATATGTATGTAAGGGAATTTAAAATAGCAAGTAAATATGTGTATCAATTTACTGGCAAAGGAAAAGAGATATCATAAAACTACTTTAAATGTATTTTTTTAAACACATGCAAATAGAAAGAGTTCATTTGTAACATGTGACCCACTTTCAAGTTACATTATCCATTGAAAAGTAATAAACTGCTATTATCTTGGTTGGTAAAGTTATATTATATCAATTATTACACAATTATTTCTAATATTCTGAAATAATTAATTCAGAAAAAAAAGTTTTGTCCAAATAGAAGCCTTCATTATAAAACATAAATTTAAAATTATTTATTAATTATAAATAAGCTTTTTATCTGCCTATATGAATGATTAGTATTTTAAAAAATATAGCACATTTATTTTTGAATTGATAAAAAGGACAAATATATGTAAGGAGTAAAAAATAATATATATATAATTTTTAGTATTCATAAGTAAGAAAAAGTAATAATAACAAGAAAAAGTAAAATAAATAAGAAAAAGTAAGCTAACATAATTCAGATTACTATCAGAAATCAACAAGCCAAAAAAAAAAATGTATTGGGGTTGGAAAATAAATTTTTTTATAATAATTTCAATTATTTAGAGTGGAATTCGGATGTAAGAAAAACAAAGCTCCCATAAAAGCAAAAAGTTATAACATAAACAAAAAGTTTATTTTTAATGAGAAAATAAAGGCATGTTAAATAATTTATCAAAGCCAATTAATTTTTTGAATTAAAAATATATTTATATTCAGTGCGAAATTAAAAACTCATAAAGGTCTAATCAAATTCTAGTTCACATAAACCAAATTGATGAATTATAATTAATAATTTAAAAAAAATATATTAGGTTATTACTTTTTTAGTTAGGATTGTTTTGTTTCTTTCTACGAGTTATTTACTAACATCCTATTGAATTTCTTAGGATACATTTCATCAGAAATCCGATCAGACACATAAAAAAGTGGTGATGCCATTGTTACCATAAAAGACACAGTAGCTTAAACAATGTGCAAGTTCCAGAAAGACAGAAATTAATGATATAAATTGTAAAACATGAAAAAAAAGTCAATATTTGCTTAATTAATCAAAAAATTCAGCACAAAAGTGATTTTGATTTATTGATTGATTCATGAAATCCTAAAAGGAAGTAAATATGCAATCCCAAAAATATGGTTCAATTGAAAATTAGCAAATTACTATTTATGAATCTAAAAATTACTTCGATCTTTTTAGTAAATGTTGTTTACTGAATACAAATAGTTTAGTTTGTTAAATATATAATTACATATTTACATCTCACACTAGAAATCTGTATATGACACTCCTCAAGAAAAAATTTACAAACAAAAATACTTTGATTAAGTTAAACATATAATTATAATACATCAGAAAATATAACACACTGTCACACTCTTTAAAAAGAGTCTTGGATCAAAACAAACATTAATTAGAAAAAGTTTCAAGAATGTTTAAAGTTTCAAGAAAGTTGAATTTTATCTCAAATGCATTTATTATTAAAAAGGGTATTTTCACACATTTTTAACATTTCATGCATTTGAAATTAAGTTACACAAATATATAGAAAATAATATAGGTAAACAATGTTCTATACATGTCATAGTAATTAGCACTGTACTTTATTAAACAAGAAACAGTTTAAAAATTTTTACTGTAAAGTTTATAATTAATTTCTAAAAAAGTTTTCTTATTCATAAAAGGAATTTAAATTTATCATTTTATTATTATTTGTAATGATAAAATACAATAAGTATTTACTCAAAGTATACACAGTTAAATTGAGCATTTATGTTAAGTATCTATGTCCTATGTCCATCATTAAATTTTATATATTGTACAATTAAACATATTAGTTTTTAAATTAAGTTTAAGATATTAGAAAAATTTAGAATATATTTGGTTCATAAAAATTATTTCAACAAAATAAATTTAAAAAAATCCAAACTCTGAAGAATAATCGGTAGAAGAATAAAAATCATTTATGAAAAAAAAAAAAAAAAAGTTTTTATTTCATTTGNCATTTCATTTTTACAGAGATAAAAAAAAACAATAAGAGGAAAAATAGTGATGAAAATTAATATGATTAAATTGAACACTAATATTGAAAATTTATTTTCAAAATTGACTTGTATATGCAAATTATTAATTATAGAAGTTTAAAAACTAATTTTATAATTCAAAAAAATAAAAGAAAACTTAATATTCATGTAATAAATCTAATTTCGATGGAAGAAATAAAAGAAATTTTTAATACTATGAAACAAATTGAATAAAAAAAATAAATAAATAAATGGAAGCCAAAAGCTAGACTATACTTATCTCACAAGTCCCAAATGTGTTGAAATTGTCAGAGGAAACAGCTATTTGAAGAATAGAGAAAATGGTTAAGATTAAAGCTTAAAACGCAAGAAGAAACACACGAATCAGAGATAAATCATTCACATTTAATTAATAATATTTATTTTTAAATTGATCTTGTAAAAATTAAACAAACTTTTCCAATTATCATCATTTTTACTTCAGCACAAAGATGTGCTTATTTTTAATTGGAAAGGTGTTATAATCAAATAACGAAATGTTTAAGTTTGTCTTGTTTATGAATAAAACTATAACAATATGAAAAGTGCAACAGATAATGGCACACAAAGAGACATATTATTCTACTGTAATGAAGGACCTTTTACAGTATCGAGACAAAAGATGTCTGCCTGCACCTTGACACAAAAAGGGTCCTTCACAATATTAATCCTATTTATGTGCCATTATTTGTGCTCTTCACATGTTTTAGCTTTTTTTTTTTACATCCTGTAATATTCTTAGCAACAAGAGAACAATATCAATTAATTAAGAGAACAATATCAATTAATTAAAACTGAGTCCTTTTATGAAAAAGTTTGTAAAAGAAAAAAAAATTAATCATTCCTTCACAATTTATAAAAACTTTACTGAAAGATGAGGATTCCTGATTGAAATGATCAATAACTAGTTAAAAAGTTTTAAATACCAATATTATAAATAGATAATGAGATATTAGTATGACTCATAATGAGATTCTATTGCAGTGTCTTTTTTTTTAAAAAAAAATTATTGAGCACCAAAAGATTAATTACTAAAAAATACTTTACAATGAAGACACAGTAATTTTTTAAGTATTTAATTGACTCAGACTCACACGAGTCTGAGTCAATTAAATACTTCCCAAAAAAGGATTATTTGAACAAGTTAATAGAGTCTCAAATACATAAGAATTTATACAGTAGTAGCATTTTTTTGATAAAAGTTTAAACAGTTTACAGAATCACCAAAATGTGCAAAATTAGATTATTTTCTATTTTTCAAACTTTATAACAAAACTTTGCAAAATTGTAAGCATCAGTACAAAAAGTTAATTTTCCTGACATATTGATAAAAAATTATGATGCTTATCTTTGCACTTTACAAATTGTTTGCTTTCTCTTTTTACAGAGAAAAAGAGGTAAGTGATTTATTACATGTAGCAATTTGCAAACATATAACATCAAACATACAACTTACTTCCTTTAAAACCATTATTTTTAATGATTTAGAGACAAATTATTATGAAATTTACCATTCACAATAATTTTAATTGTTAACATCTATTGTGTGAATGGGGTAGTTGATATTTTCTTAAAACCTTATATAAAACTATTTACCAGCTTTATCTAAAATATTCTTAATCAAAAAGGTAAGTCAAATTTATTCATAAATATTCATGCATATTAGAAATATCTATGAATTCTGTTTAAAAAAGTAAATAATGGAACATGTGAACAAATAAAAGGCATCATTAAATAATACATGAGCAAACACACACAAAAAAGAGATTTAAATGCTTCAGTTAAGAATAGTTGATTAACAAATAACTTCAATGTTTGATAATTTGAAATTAAATTCATTTAAAGATGGCATGATAGCTTAACTAATATTTTTTTCTTGATTATATAATCTCACAAATATTAAATCCTTCGTAAACATGTATATTGGCACACACTAGAGTATACAGAAAACAAGTAAAACACTCAAGCAACATTTGGCAGTAATAAAAATTGTAAATATCTCAAAAAATAAGAAAGCACAGAGTTTTCTAACAAATTACAATCACTATAAAATGTCACTTAGTTGTATGCTATCCTTATTGTCATGATCAGCATGGGATAATATTTGTGCAGCCATCTGAGATTTCGTTCCTAAATTTTGTTCTCGAATATGTAAGCATTCTTGATATGTGGCAACATTCGACTCTAAATCACACATATCAAATTTAAATCTAATTCTTAAATCAGGTTCAACACCCCGCATTACATGTAGTTTAGACTGAACAAAAATTTCAAATAAGTCTAAGTGTGAAGTATAAAGTAACTCATTTTTCAGGTCTTTATCAGTTTTAATCATAGGGATAGTATTTTCTAATTGTTTTCTAATAACTAGATAGTCAGATAAATAAAAACTTGCATGCTCATAACTTTCAGTATCAAAATGACCCAAATCTTTTTTGATTTCAACATTATCTGGCAGCGTGACATGATTGTAAGCTAGAGCAGGGTGGTATTGACGAAAAGGGATAGGGAAGAAAACCTGAGTTTTTAAAATGGTATTCATACGCACACGGTTAATGTAATCCGTATGAATCTCCATTCCAATATGGCACAATAGCATTAGCGAATCGGATGATAATTTTCTCGATACTAAGTCTACAAGAGCAAAATAAGGAGGCATTTTCCCAATGGTTTTCACACTGAACCATGCAATTTTGGCACCATTTGATCTATATTTATTAACATATGAGCTAACCATATCTTTTAAAGGACCAAACACATCTTCCTTTTCACCTTTACCAGGATCTTGTGGACCATACAAAAAAACTAACAACATAACAGTACTATCTTGTTTTTCAATACAAGTTTTAACATAATCATCTAAGAATCTGAGCGCTTCGTTTCGTTCACTGGCTTTAACAGTTACTAATAAAACTACCCGAGTATGTTCCGTAACAAAAGGCACTGGAATTATTTCAACCTGATTAAGAGGGCGAACTGCAGATATTCTCTTTAATATTTCTAAACCAGTAGTTTCATCCAAGAACAGCATGTCCAAGATGTATTCTGTACCACGAGTTGGATCAAATCTCTTATAACCATTAACTAAACTTTGATAAATGTATTTATCCTGATAAGTAATTTTAACCCATTGCACGGCAGATTTAAGTAGATCATGAATTTCAAGTTTGTTTGAGCCTTTAATTTCTGAAACTATTTTTAATTCAGTTTCTAAAAACTTGTGCGTATTATTAAAGTAGATCCATGGAAGAACATCAAACCTACCATGAGGCTTAAACGGTGGTTCTATGCCAACTGGCCAAGAAGATCTACTTACATTTTCTGGAAAAAATGCATTTAAATCAGAAATTTTTACTTGTATTTCTTGTAATTCATGTTGATTGTCAATAAGCTCTTGGTGGCAGAAATGATGATGTATTAAGTAATGATCCTCTGGAACTGAGACAGTATAAACAGTTAGCACATTTCTAAGATCTTTAGGCCATGATGATTTTAATATAGAGGCTTCTAAACCATCATCTTTAGAAACATGGTGAGATATGTAAGCAAGCCCCTGGAAAAAGAAATAAGCAAGTTGTAGGAGAAAGAGATACATATTTCAACAGATATTATAAATAAAATAAAATACCTTAAAAATTGAAAGTTTTAAAATATAGCCTGAAAAAGAAATTATTTAATAGGTAAGTTATCATGATCCAAATTCTTGACCCTTAAGATTGATTTTTATCAGATCTTAAGATCATGGCAAAACTACTTAAACTATTATTCAGTTTCAGTTTTTGGTCAAGACTAAAGCATATCTGATGCTCTTCTTGAGACTTTCCTTATTTACCATATAAAGATATTGAAGATTCTATTAAGGTAAAACTAAGTGAACTAAAACTGTTATCATGAAATATTTTACATGAAAACATCTGGATATTATTCTCATGACTGTGTATGTAAAACTTAATTTTTTCCTTCGATTTTGAGAAACACTCAAATGCTAGAATGTATTTTTATAAAATATTTAAAAAAATAACAAAAAATTAGATTTATATCACTAAATCTTCAGACCTCAAGCACGCGGCAAAATTTTCCCATGCCATTGGTGACCAAATGTTTAGGGCAGATGAGTAAAGTTCAGCTTTGTAAAATCTGTGTTTCAAATTAAACTACCAAATTTTACCTGGAGTAAAGACGCTATTGATTGGTATGTAATTATAGATTGATAGTATAGATTCTTTTTAAAGACTGAATTACTTGGTGATTGTCTTAGAGCTTTTACAAATGGACCCTCCCCTAAACAAAGTTTGATCTTAAAGCTGAAATTTTTAATTCATTTTAATGCCAAACAGCAATGGTTCGTAAAAACAAAATATTAAAAGTATAGGAAAACTTCTGATATTTTTCTTATTTAAATACATTTTTAATGATGTGTGTATGATTGAACAGATGAAACTTTATGGAAAGGAATATTGTTATTACTTATTCAATGTATGACTTTTAGAGTTTTGGTAACCAAAACTACTGCATCTGTTAACATCTAATAAAATGTTGAAATTTTTCATGACCATAGTGACAAGGGAAAATTTCAACCTAGCTTTAACTTTTAGAACAGAAATTTCTTGCCCTGCCTCAGAATATTTTGGGCTAGCATTAGTCCCAGTAAACTCCACCTGGTTCTGACAGCTTGTAGTTGCCCTAAGCAAACCACTATATATACAGTGAAACCTCCTGTTATGGACACTCCTGCAAGACGGACGCCTCTCTATACGGACATATTTTTAATTCCCCGGGAATCTTCTATGAATAAACCATTATGTACATTCTCCGCAAAGCGGACACTCCCGTAACCGGACGTGGACAGTCATTTTGGTCCTGAAACGTTGTTTTCTATCTCTACAAACCGGACACTACTTTTTCTAAATTTGAAAAATAAACTGTTTTTGCTTTAAAATGCAATTTTTCACTATTTCTAAAGCATGTAAATAAAAAAATTTGCCTTATCCGTAACTAAAAATATAGTTAAGCTATTTCACCACTGAAAAATCAATCTTTCTCCTGTCACCTTGCCTTATCTTTGTAAAGAAAGGAGAGAAAATGGTACTGCACTCCTGAAATAATTCTGACATCGGCATCTTTTGATCTTTTCATCTGGACCACACAGGTTATGAGACCCCTCAAGTTGAAATGACATCTCTCAATGCTTCTTCTCCATTGAAAATTTCTTTAATTTTCTTATCAATTTGAAGATTGTATTTAACAGGACTGGGGTTAAAAGAATAGAACAGAAGTATATAATCTTTGAGGTGTTTATATAAATGAAACATTTATTCAGACACTTGATAACTGATCAATTGTGAATAATCACCTCCATAGGTCCTCATGACTTACAGGTATGCATTACTTCTTTTTCTGTGAATTATGGGAGGTTTTTTTTCAAGAAGGTATTAACCACGTTCCCTATTATATGATAGGTATGTGTAAGGGGATGTAAATCTAATAATTGAAACGGACTGAGGACAGAAAGCTCCTATTCGGTATCATATGTGAGTATCTATGCTTGAGTATCTATGCTAGTAGGAAAATTATATTTATTTATTTGTAACTACATCCAGAATTATGCATTTATATCAAACTTCTTTATATATTCATTTTTTATCTTTCTTATAATTTAAATAAATATTCTTGTAGATATTTATAGTATCCTTGTAGATATTATTTAATTATTTCTACATCTTTGAAAACATTCTAAAAACAATTTACGGTGTTAAATTTCGTTATTAGGGTATCCCTCCCGTAAACGGACAACTCTCATAAGCGGACAAATTTATTGGTCCCATGAATGTCCGCTTAACGGAGGTTTCACTGTATTTAAAATTTCCTGCAAGAAAAGAAATCTTTTCACGTCTTGGCAATGGTAGTTGGGTGGAGGGGGATAGAGACACTAATTTTTCGAGCATATATTATTGTCCCACCTAAAGTTTTTTATATTTATATTGAAACAATATACATTATCATAATAAGATATTTTAACAAAAAGAGCGAGAATATTTCTGTATCATGATCTGTCACGCCAACTGCAATCGCCAAATGGATTTTAAACTTTCAAATTTTTATAAAAAAACACGTAGATGTTGATAAGATATGTTAGACCTTTCGAGTTTCTCTTTTTCTGTGATGTTTTTTTTTTGTTTCTCGCAGGCCACTGCCCAGAAGTTGCCAAGACTTGGCAAATATTCTGCCACAGATCAGGATACAGGAATCTCCCTAAAAGACCAATATTTCAGATTTTTTTTTCTAATTTCTCCCAATACTGATACCTGAATTTCAGAAGAACATGATTGGTCAGTACCATGTAGAACACAGCGTCCAAAATTATCACTGTTACTTTGAGAAAACGTATGTTGGATGCACCAGTCTAAATTTTGAACAGTTTTAGAAAGAACTGAATGAGAGAGGAGAATTCCAGCATCTAAATTGCAATATAATGAATCAATTTCAATCGGTTGTCCCAAGTGAACATCTCGTATGATACTCAAGTGACTGACGAATTCTAGTAACTTTTTACCCCTGATGTGAGTGGTATCTTTGGCAAAGAAGAAAAAATCATAATCATTTAAAAAGTTATTTGACACATATTGCAGCATATTGAAAGGCGCTAAAATTTCACGCTTATCAGGAAAATTGACTATAGAATTACTACTAAGATCCACATTTTCGGAATCAGCTCCTTCTAGAAAAAATAAAATTTTATTTGCATGTTTTGTAAGAGTTTTATTAAGTGCACTGCCTAATGATGATATGGTAGACGGTGTAGACAAAACACCAATAAACAATTTCTCTTTAATTCCAAGTTCAGTGGAATAATATCGAGCACGAGGAATTTGGATTTTTTCTGGACGAGGAACATTTTTTGGTTTGGTATCTAAGTGCATGACGGGTTCGTATTCATCAATGGCAGTCAGAGCGGAAGTTTTGGTGTCGGAAATTCGATCCTGAGTTAAATGTGGATGAGAACACTTCTCTTCCATTATAGGCATCACAATTAATGACAATGTTATCCCAAAACAGAAACCGATAATGGAAATGATATGGTGAGAAAAGAAAAAACTTAGCCTCTTGAGTATTCTCATCATTAAGTAGAGATGGCATGGATGTTGAGCAATAAAATTTGATAAAATATTTGATTTTAAATAATAATGTTATGATAAAGGTGAAATCATGCTTTGGACATAAAATTTTAATAAAATATAGGTAGACAATTCAATAATTAACTATTTCCAACACCGAAACTTTTTCCCAATCCGTCGGCCCTCAACTTAGCAACCAAAACAAAAACATTGTAATTCGATACAAATATTAAATCGATATAATTTGTATTCCTTAGAACAATTTTCTTTTCATGACATGAATCAAAATCACTTTCCTAAGAGTAATATTAAATTTTAGAATAACTAAAATCAAGATTTACAAAATACATTTTTAATCTTACTCTAATTATGTGAAGGAAGGAAGAAAATATAGAAATAATCTGAATTAACTTTTTAAGTCTTATTTATACTGTATTCTCTGGCTCCAACACAACAGATTCAAGTGCGCAAATTGCACATTGGAGGCAATAGGGGTCATTCTCATTGCATCCAATTCACGCGTTGCCAATCGACTTTTTACACGCACCTCTGATGAACGGCGATTAGAGGTACATTTACTGCAATAGGTGAGAATACTCACAAAGACATTCTCATTGTATGCTATCTACATGCTTCCAAAAGATATCAAGGGAGAATGAACAGCTTGTTGGTGAAATATATTCTATGGTAATAAAACTCACAAGCCAAGGTTCGTTCTCACTGCGTACAGTTCACGTATGCCCGACCGATGCTCTGATTGAGGTTGTTGTTGTTGCAGATCATTTACGTCACACTAGAGCTGCACAATTGGCCATTGGCGACTGTCTGAGAAGCATCCCTGAGGATGATCCGAAGACACGCCATCACAATTTTGATCCTCTGCGAAGTCGAGCACTTAACGGTAGAACAGTTTAACGAGAACCCATATCGCACACCCTCGGTCCCTACGCAGCCTGATCCAAGTGGTCACTCATCCGCACACCCTGACCGCAGCCAGTGATGCTTGACTTCGGTGATCTGCTGGTGACCGTGTCTTAACGATCAGTCTACTGCGGGAATTCTGATTGAGGAGTGTTTTTGCCAGAGAATATATTTTACCAATTAAGTGCTGATTCTTCCTCGGCAAAGATCGACTGTGTTCAAATTGTATGTAGTGAAAATGGCCCCACTGGATTCTTATTCTCTGGATGAAGACCAATTCTTATGTGAATGCTATGCAGTGAGAATGGCTCAGTGAATGTAAGTAGCGTATACACTAGACACTTTAAGTTGCCGTCGCTTATTTTCCTAGGATATTTAAATTTCTGAGCAAGTTTTTAGGGAAAGATTTGGATATCTTTGAGATATCATTTACCGACATTTAGCTATTATAGAGATATACAGACTTAGATATAAATATATAGATATATCTAGGTTTTTGNATTCTCACTGCATCCAATTCACGCATTGCCGATCGACTTTTTACACGCACTTCTGATGAATGACGATCAGAGGTACATTTACTGCATGAGGTTAGAATATTCACAAAGACATTCTCATTGTATGCCGTCTACGTGATTCTAAAGCTATCAAGGGAAAATGAACAGCTTGTTGGTGAAATATATTCTATGGCAAAAAACTCACAAACCAAGGATCGTTCTGACTGCATACAGTTCACGTATCCCCGACTGATGCTCTGATTGAGGTTGTTGTAGTTCATTTACGTCGCACTAGAGCTGCACAATTGGCTATTGGCGACGGCCTGGGAAGCATCCCTGAGGATGATCCGAAGACACGCCATCACAATTTCGATCCTCTGCAGAGGGGATGGCACCCTCACTTCGGTAGCTCAACGACCTGCACGCGAAGTCGAGCACTTTATGGTAGAACAGTTTAACGAGGACCCATACCGCACATCCTCGGTCCCTACACTGACTGATCCAAGTGGACACCCACCCGCACACTGACCGCTGCCAGTGATGCTTGACTTCGGTGATCTGCTGGGAACCTTGTCTTAACGATCAGTCCACTGCGGGACCTTTGATTGAGGAGTGTTTTTGCCAGAGAATATATTTCACCAATTAAGTGCTGATTCTTCCTCGGCAAAGATCGACTGTGTTCGAATTGCATGCAGTGAAAATGGCCCCACTGGATCCTCATTCTCTGGAAGGAAGACCAATTCTTATGTGAATGCTATGCAGTGATAATGGCTCCGTGAAAGATGTAAGTAACGTATATCCATTACACTAGACACTTCAAATTGCCGTCGCTTATTTTCCTAGGATATCCAAACTTCTGAACACGTTTTTTAGGGAAAGATTTGGATATCTTTGAGATATCATTTACCGACAGTTAGCTATTATAGAGATATACAGACTTAGATATAAATATATAGATATACCTAAGTTTTTGGTATGGATATCTCTTGAATATATACTTTTACTTTAAATTTGAATATTTGGATGTTCATAGAATGCCTGAGAGATCTTTTAAATTATACTTTATATCTGACTCAGTAATATTTAGCAATGCTTAATTATCTGACGTGTAAATAAGGCAAATCTTATAAATTTCCGAAGACTTAAATCGCTGAGATATCCAAGGACTAAATATCAAAGACTGGCAGAAAAAAAAATTAAATAAATAAAAATAAATAAATAATATTTCTAATTAAAAAAAAAAGTATTATGAAATGTTTATTGCCTCAATTCTTTGAAAGCATTTTTGATTTTATGCGTATTTACTCATAAAATAGGAATTGGGACCCTATTTACATCAGGTTCCGATCTATAATAGTATTTTGGGTACTTTTTATCACTGCGCCTATTACCACAAAACTACTAGTAACAAATACTATCATTTGGCATTACATCAATAAGTATCGATGATAATAGTTTGGCGAATTTTTTATGATTCTTACCTCCTTCCCCCAAATAAAGATAGGCATGTCAAATTTCATCAAGCAGATATCATCAGATTCATGCAGCAGGTGTCATAAATAAGTATTTTACACTAAATTGTCTTAACACAATTGCAATACACATCTATACAATAAAAAAATGAAGTTATAATTGGTTATCATAATGCTCATTAGACGTTATTGCATTTCACGTTATGGTTTTCATAGTTACTTAATTTGAATTGTTTATTCAAAGCATTCAGTGGGTGAATTTGATGAAAAAGAAAGAACTAGAAATTCGTTAAAACTACTTTTACAGTAAAATGAGAAGGTAGTTGTTCATTTTAATTCATTCCGCATGATAAATTGGTGGACAGATTTTTTTTAGTCAATCTTAGTATTAAATTTAAGGCTTTATTTTTTATTCTTTAAAACTATTATATTCAAAACAGAAAGAATAGAATATTTTTGTGACAAATTTCTTATATTAATAAAATTAAAAAAGGGATTTATTACAAATTATCAACTAAAACTTGGTTATAAATTAAATTATTGTTATAATTATTTTAATTATAATTAATTTAATAATTATTATTAATTTATTAATTATAATTATTTATTATTAATTATAATTGTTATTAACTATAATTATTATTTATTGATATTATAAAAATTTTCTTTCCTTACCAAGAGAAAAAAAGTGATTTAGATGATGGAAAACAAAAATTTTGGACGAAAAAAAATTTGAACAAAAATAAAATATTTTCTTGGTTATATCTTTATTAACTTTTTTCTTATCTAGTTTAAAACTTAACTTTGTTGCTCTTGCACTAAGTATTTTGTTCAGCTTATATTTCTATTTAAAATATTATAGTAATATTACTGAGTGCATTATTATTAAACTAAAGGGTGTTTCAACTTAATGAAGGTACAACAACTCTATAATGAAATTTTATAACAGATTTCCTACAAACAAAATTTTCTGTTGCCAAACACACAAACACACGAAGCCAATCACTAAATAAAAAAAGATTATTCATTTTATCCTGATTTAAAATTATTTACTAATGGCATATAGTCCAGCATTACAAAATTTTCTAATACAATTAAAGATAAATTAGTAATGAAATAGGCTCATAAATAATTCTTAGGATCATAAATAACTCTCTAGCCTTGTATTGGTTATATAATTTTGAAATAAAATATTTTTTTGTACACAAAAAGTTTCACTAATTTGATGCTTTCATCTCACACTACAGTTTTAAATATTTTACTAAAAACTTAAAAACTCTAAAAAAATATTGCTGACTGAAATAAAATTTAATTTAAAAGAACTTCATTTCAATATAATGAATTTTTTTCATAAGCATATCTTATTTTTCATTTTTTTTCATCTGTGCTATACTTTCAAATTTATCAATCATAAATTATTCGTAAATTTAATTTTTTTTTCACAAATTGAATTCAAACTTTTATGAAATTTAAATTTTATGAATTAGTTTTCCAAAATCAAATGATCTAATGTTATGAGCTTATTTATGTTTTACATGCTGTAATGCTTGAAGTAATTTTAATCATAAAATTATGGGGAGTAAAGCTTAACTGTATTCTTCTTAAAATATCACTAAATTTAGTGGAAGCAAGTTCTTGAAGGATTAAGATCTCTGTCATAATAAAAAAGAATCACTGAGATAACGAGATAATGCAGACAATTGACAACTGGAAAAAATCACTTAGAGATCAATTTTATGTGCTAGATATCTGTGTATCATGTGTGTATTATGTATAGATATCTGTGATAAGTCACATACGTCAGCCAGATGTCTCTGGGATATATAGAAGATTTCATAATACCTAAACATCAGTTGGACAAAATTGCGATCCCTGGATTTCTGACAGATATTGCATGGATGTTCAGTTATCGTGGATATTTTTGTTTTATGTGGTATTATCCAGCTTTTTTTTGTATAAGAGATATCTCAAAGATGTTTTAGGGAAATTTGTAGCTGCGTGAGCGTTTGTTCTTCAGTGTACAAAATATCAATGAAGCACGAGCGAACGGATATGTGATGAATGAATCGGAAGCAGCGAGAACGGTCCTTGATGCAACTGATTTCTCAGGAACAAGGTTGGGATGAAACTATTTCAGATAAAGAATAAAGTGAATAAATAAAAAGTGCGAATAAACAAAAAGAGGGATTAAAATCTGCAAATAAACGAGAGTGATCTAAAAATTGGATCCTGTGAGCTACGAAATGTGTAGGTAAAACATACTATTTACTTATGTCCCGATTCAGCAGCCAATCAGTCCAATTAAATCTGATCCTAAAATTGATTCAGCGTTATTTTAAACCAAA